CGCATAATATGTCCATACCACGCTAACCTTTTGCTTCTCAATTTCTCCACCACTGGCGCTACTTTCAAACTTCCTCTAATGTACACATTCTCGTTTGCCACCTTATGTTATAAAAAAAAAATTACTATATACTTCTATACTACTATCTACTATATACTCTAATCTATATACTTTTATTTTCTACAATAAAAAATAAGTTAAAACGCCCACTTTTCGATGTTTGTGTTACTTATATAATTGTATTTTAAGTACTAAATTATTCTATGTTTTGTAACAATGATTATGAAACATTTAATTAATATTTACCTTGCATCTGCAATTACTTTAATCTGTATTTTGTGTATGTAATAACTTTTGCATTTCTTCTGATAGGTTTCCTAGAACAATAATCATTTACTATAAGAGAATTATTACAAAAACCAATACAATAAGAGTGGGTGCACACCTTTAACTAAAAATACAACTGTTTGATCGTCAATTGTGAACTGTTTAGTTGCACAACTAAAAGTCAAGTAGTGTACGCACCTCCATATTAGATAGGAATGAAAACGCAACTAAACAGTTGTGCGATAGTTTAGTCAAAGGTACAGACTCTAAATGAGCAAAAATTTAAAGAAAATGAAACTAATTCTGATACAGATATAAGAATGTAATGCAAAATAGAATGGATATAAGCATCTCAGGATAGGAATTTTATATTCTTGTTTTGGCTATAGACAAATTATAATAAATCAATGAGTTAACTTTAAAAATGTCAAAGCTATAATAGTGTTGAAAAATCCATACCACTACAATTACTTGCTCTGCCAACTGGAAACAGCATCTTTCTGAAGTCGCATACAAATACCATCTCGGGTACCAATGGAAGAACAAAGCTGGTATGCCACATGTTAAAATTGTGAATATATACACAAGAAATGTCCGCCATCGACTTCTTCTGTACCCATGTACTACCTAAAACAAAATATAAAGATGCTAGTACAGTCAGCTGCATAAGTGTAAATACATTTACAAAAATTAGAAATTTAAATACAATTTTGATTAAAAAATGTAAGTATTGGACAATAGTATGTATTAAAGTATTAAAGCACACAGATATATCTATGCATATTTCTGAAACCAAAAGTGACACTAGTTTCTGTACTTTAGCATATGTTCACAAAGCTGACTGTACATTGTTCAAGTAAAATACATCTAAAAAGGACAAACATATTGAAATGTTACAGGCAACTTAAGGTCAATGCATAAGAAACTCTAGACAAAATAAGTATATCCATTGATTAAAAAATACATAAACAATAAATACAAAAATACATAACTGTTAATAGTTGTATGCAATAATTACAAAGTAGTGATAACAATGTATGTACTGAGTTGTTACAATTGGTCAATGTTTTAACACAATATTTAATTATAATACATAACAGATAAGGACACTCATAATTCAGTTGACAGGAAGTCATGGATAATATAATCAAACAAGAATTAAACATGTTTTGCAATATCATTTCAATTACATAAAATTCTAAAGATAAAAAATAAATTGAACAACAATAAGTGCAAGAAACTATTCCTGACCTTTACGAAATGTAAAACAGACATATAGATTACTATAAATGCTGATGGTAACAATCCTTATAGATAACTCAAAAACTACTTATTAGTTTTTCATTAAAAATTGGACCACATGTTATACCTCCTTCTAGACATAGCCAATAGCTGACCACCTTGTGGGTAATAAAGTACAATAAACAATACTGAGGGGGAGGATCAACTTAATCTTGGTTATACTAAGTTTTAAAGAATAGTAATTGAATAAAACTGCAATTTATATGAACTATAACAAAAATGGACATTTTACCTGGTGAAAATCACGATCAGTGTTTAATAATTGTTCTGAAAAGTTCAATATTGCGTGTAGGGACCTAGTATTTCCCTGTTCGTATCTTATGAGGGGTTGAATGTCGTCTTCTGAATCCATCATTATATTATGTTTATGACACAAACCTTTGGTATTGAAAATATAATACTACTTTGTTAAGCTACCATATTGATGACTTAATTAGATCACAAGTTTAGGAACAAAGAACTATGTGAATCGTAAAACAAACACACACTAATTTTAATTACAGTTTGTCGTAACTACTCAGGCGACATATTGTAATGAAATTGATCTATTCTACAAACATATTACGGAGAGTACAGGAACAAAGGTTTATAGAATAAAGTTCAATATTTACGTTTTCTTCACTTCTCTACATGACTGAAGAACAATAACGTTCTTTGTATTTCGAAGTCATGATAACTATAACTTTTAGGATCGTAATATATAGCAGAAACGGAGAAGATAAAAATCACTTAAGCATCTTGTAACGTGTAAAATAAAATGTTATAAATTATTTGTAAGCTAATTTACGAACAATCAATCGCTTTTAATGTCAAAATCAGCTTGGCTTGGCTGTCAATGTCAGTTTTTCACAGAGTGTGTATGTTACATGGTTTAGTTAAATATGGTTGGTTTTACTTTAAAATCAGTGTAAAAATATACGTACCATGTGGTTATCATCGACTGCTATGTGTTGTTCAACATTCAATGTCATTGTCTCTTCTTATATTTCAATAACCAGGAGATCTGAAAACAAAAACAAAGCCTTTTTCAATTATTTAATGGAAAGGAATTCATGGCAAGTGATATTTTTCATCTGTGGCTTGGTTGAAAGCAGTACTTTAATCTATGTGAAAAATTATTCATTCATTCGTTCACTTCACTTGTCTTGTCAACTTCACTGTCACTTTTCTTGTAAATATTTAGTTTGGAGCTTCTTTTGTAATTTCCTATTTAGATAAAATTACAATCGAAACGAAAAATATTAACAAGTCAGGATCAAACCTTTATTCTTTTAGTTACGGTAAGTGAAACATAAGCAAAACACCTTTTACTTTACTTCTTGTAGGTTATATTAGTTAACCTCAATGTTGGTATTTTGTGTTTATTTAGTTTTACTTCTCTAGTGTAAGTTGAATTAAGATGATGTTCAAGACGTTTGTAGGAACAGTCCCCAATATTATAATCACAAATACATGTATCAATAATTTTTAAATTATTTTAGGTCATTGTTCAAAATGATTATTCCAGTACGATGTTTTACTTGTGGGAAGGTGATCGGCAATAAATGGGAGGCTTACCTTGGTCTGCTACAAGCTGAATACACAGAAGGGTATGTATTTCCACTAAATAACATTTAATTACAAATCTCATTATACTATCAAGGTACACGGTTGGACTAAACGTAACAAACTCATTTATTCCTTCTATAAAATGTAAACCTTAATCCTTTCCAATAATGTTGGGCTCTGATATTTAATCCATCAAGATAAAACTTATAAAGAATTAAATGGTTCAATACATAAACAAGAAACCTATCAAGTTGATATAGCAGGAGTTTATTTTTAGGTTTTCTCACTTAAGTATCTACTAACTAAATAGAAAAAATGTGACAATTATTTACCTGCAAGTCCAAATTCTAGGGAAATAAGAATTGTAAAATTTTATAACCCTTATCTTAATATCCTGGGAAATATTTAAACAGTGATTTGAGAAAATATTTGTTTTGCAATGTTGTAAATGACGAAGTGTATAAAATACATTAAGTATGTAATCAGTACTAAAGTTTTATTTAAAATGTATATCTTGTTTAGATAAGGCATGTAACATAGTTTCAAACAATAATTATTGGAAGCTATTCTATTATTTTAATTGTGTTTCCATGCTTAAGTCTTGCTATGGTTTGTTAGACCATAGTATGTTATTGGGTACAAAGATAATGTTATTATGTATAGAAATGTATTATTGTATTTCTAAATACTAATTTTACAAGAAAACTACTACCTATAGTTAAATCAATAAACAGCAAATGTTTTTAGCAAATATTTATTTTGGTCTTAACTTACTTCTTACTAATATTATAAATGCGAAAGTTTAGATGGTTGTTTGTTAGAGTTTGTAACATAAACGGCTGAATGGATCTCGATGAAATTTGGCATATACCTAGAGGATAATTTGGAAGAACACATAGGATACTTGCTTTTGTTTTTTTAAAATTCCATGCGAACGGAGTCGCGGGCGATAGCTAGTAAACTAATAAAATGTTGTGCTATTTTCACATTTTACGTGTTACTTTAAATTTTTGATGTGAATGTTTATTTGTTGAGTAAATAGTCATTGCAGTGTTGATAATTTGTGTGTTCCAGTGATGCACTGGATGCCCTCGGCTTGAAGAGATATTGCTGCCGAAGAATGCTGTTGGGTCATGTCGATTTAATTGAGAAATTACTGAATTATGCACCTTTGGAAAAATAAACTAAGATTAAGTATATAATTGTGTTAAATTTAGTTTATTTAGACTTTGTTTAAGGAAAAACCGATAATCTTTTGTTTGTTGAATAAATGTATTTCAACCTTAAAATTCATGGCCACTGTAAGGACAACAAAAAATTGACTTGATTGCTTGTTTTGTAAATTTTCTCATACAATTTTATTGTCTGCTATTTGATATTTAAGTTAGGTACATTTTAATGCATCGTAATGTAAACCAGAATATCTTGTTCGTATTTAATATCACAGTTTTAACTTTAAAAATGGTTTTACGCAGTATATTTTAAGTACATTCCAACCCAAACAGTAGTGTTAAAAAATATATGTCAGCTTGAGTATTTAAAAGAAAGAATAAACAGTTACCTTTTCTAAGGCGCCTTATTTCTTACCAGCTTTCAGGGAGGGGGTTAACAGAGTTACATAATATGATAATGTAACTAGAAATAATTAACATTTAATAAATTTAATTTGTAAGTAATAAATTAAAGAACATATAATACACTATATCTTTTATTTCTTTACTGTTTTGTAGTTTCTATTAGTTTTCCCCGTTCACTTTCTTTCCTATATATGAAGATTTGTATTTTTGTTTGTAACAAAAATTTAAAGATACTGGACGGATATGAAAAATTCTTTCACGATTAAAAAGCTTTATTTTGCTGAGTAAAATAGACTGTATCCTATCAGACGAATGCGCGAGGAAAAGCTAGTTTAATATAAATCAAATCGAAAGAAAGTTATTGAATAATTTTCAATACATATATTAAGTGTTACTATTAATGTTGGTGTCCACTGCAACGCGTAAACAAAATGATGACTGTCTCTTTTGTCAGTGAAAACGTACGTTAAAACACTCGTCACTGGTTAATACGAAGAGATTCAAATAGCCTTGTTTATCCAAATAAAGCAAAGATTACAATGTACGCAATATAATAAAGATATCTTGTATGCCTTGAGTTTATTTTATTAGATTTATAAACTGTTATACCGGTTTACCTTTAAAAGATAACCGTCAGTTTTCACTGCCAAAACACACCCATAACATTATTATCTGTGTTTTAAGGAGTATGAAAAGGATGAATAAGTTTGTCGACAGTGAGAACTCACGTCAAGATTATTCAAAATTACGGTACTTTTGTCCGAAAAGAGGCCATGTCCTAAAGCAGTGTGAAAGGTAATTAAGAATAAGATGTCATTCGTATTATATTTAGTTGAGTAAAGTTTTCTTAATGTATTAACTTTCTTGTATGTACCATTCAAATTACACTCAAGGCTTGTGTGATATATTTTCGACAATTATACTGTGGTGGGAAATAAATCCTGAACTATGTGATCAGAAGTCCATACCTATAACCATTAGGGTGTTGGCGAGTTGCGTTTTTTTTACTTGTCAGTTTTAAACGCCTTGTCCTAAAATAAAATGTTTGTAATTTTAATTGGGATAATTGAAGTATTTAATTTAAAATGCTGTACAAATATTTATCGGTAATTATAACGAATTTGATAGTGGTATACTCAATGCTGTTTATTTTAATTAACATTGCAGATAGCGACAAGAACGTTTATAAGGACGCTATTTACCATACGTAAATACCGCGTGTTTCCACTTCTGAAACTTTCGTTGTCTCTGTTTTTTTCACGATGAAAAATGAGATGTCAAGCTTTTGTATGAATGTTTTATTTCGGTTGTGGATTAAGGGGAAGCGTTTTAACCCACTTTATTTTCTTATATTCTGTTCTATTTGAGTCATAGTGTTTATGCGACTGGAGTGTAATTTCATAAGTTAGTGGGCCTTTAAGTTATTTTTTTTTTCAAGATCTAAGGACGTATTTACAGTTAATCCGATTAGATATTTAACAATTTATTTATGTTTACTTTACTTTAATTCTTTACCAAATATATAATTTTATGATTTTCAGCTGTTTATACGTATGTTGATTTTATTGCGGATTAATCCAAAGTAGGTTTGAATGAGGTCGACAATCCGAGACGTCCTTGTAACAATTGTACCGGTTTGTGATAGAGGTAATATTATATTAATACAAATACAACCTCTTTATGTAGAGGTCTTAGTTGAATAAAGGGTTTCCATTGGCGAAACATTGAGACAGCAACAAACATTTTTTCCCCTCCAAAAATGTTGTTTTTATAGTTACATAGAAGTTCAGTGGTTACGTACAATATTAATAGAAAACAGTAAATGCAAATAACTAATACATTTGTATTTACCAACAATACGTGTTCCAAATAAATTAGCACATATATGGAATTATTCATGTGCCGTAAATAATTGTTAGCTCATTCTATCAAAATCAAAAATACAACGAAACTGTCATTAGAAAATAGCAGTAAAAAGAGAGATGACTTTACGGAATTACTTTCACTTACACCTTTTGTGTGGTCCTGGATAGGACCAACTGATTAGGTAGCCCCATTCTTCCAAAAGATATTGCGAGCTCTACCACTTTTGACATACCTGAGTCTAAAGTAGCTTACTTTTATGAATATTAAGTATTTTCTTGTATTAACCTTATTTCAATACAAAAGAACATACAGAAGAATTAAGTACCGCCTTATTTTGGGAAGTCGGTCAAAATTATATACTATTTTAATTTATAAATAAAATGTTCTTTACAAACATCGGACATCAGTAACCAGTTTGTGAAATGAATTTCGCTAACACCAGTTTACCGTCTTTGGACCTTTAACCTGTGTTGACATACTTTGGGACTGAACACTGTTTTCCTTCAAAATAGAAGATATATTATTAGATATAGGGCTCGGAGCCTACCCTAATAAGGGGTTACTAGGCCATAGTCAACCACCCTGGCGCAGTGCGGGTTGGTTGAATTCACACATATCTTTGAATTTCTTCGTCGATATGTGTAGGTTGCATCACGATGTTTTCCTTCACCGTAAGAACGTCGGGTAAATTATGTACATATGAAAATTCGAAAAATCGAAAATCACATTGGTACATGGCGGGATTCGAACCTAAGACCTATAGATTACAAGTCAAGTGTTTAAACCACTGAGCCACCGACGCCCTTAACA